TAAACTAGAGTGTATTGGAGATTTTATGATATGAGAGAAAATTTTAAAGATTTGATCTTCAGATTTTGGTGGTATCAGAGTACAGTATGATAAGTTCCGAGCCTTGTGCATTTGTGGGACTTTCTCACGAGTGCACGGCGTCTGTCGCGCCTCGAATTCGGGTTTTGGGGTGTGACAGCAAGTGGCACGCCTAACATCCAAACTCACGTGGTCAAGGCCGGCTAAGGATTCTTGGGGAAACAATCCTTTGTTGGCACGCCCAGTGGGACCACCAATAGGGTGTTTCAATTAAGGTTCACAGATCCTCTGTTTATACATCTAAAGGTGTCTGGAGCCATGCCACCGAGAAAGAGCAGAGATAAAGAGGTTCAGCCAACCCAGGTTGAACATGTAGATGACAGTCCAGTCTACTCGGAGGGTGAGAATGATCCAGTTGTGCCTCACTTCTCGTCACCCTTTGTCGAGCGATCTTATGGCAATCCAATTTTCAAAGAAATGGATGCAACACAAAGATGGATTTTCAGAGTCATGCAATGTGATTAGAAACTTGACTGAACGTTTTGAGATATCATGCAGAGAGCGAGCCCAAGATAATCAGAAAATCGTTGAGAGACAAGCATAATCTTTCAGACAGCATGATGAGGCGATGAAACAATATATGGTTGAACTGAGATGGATTTTCGAAAAAGGCACTATGGTGATGCGTGAAACTGGAGATGAGAGTCCCAAAACACTACAAGCTGTTTCAGAACAAGTAGTTGAGCAAGTACGACAACCTAGACCTAAGGTCCCTCATCCAGCCATGGAAATGCCTAAACAAATTCAAGAAACCCCGATCCCAACACTCGGGGGGCCAAGGGAATCAGCCTCATCCCAACGTTCAACAGCAGAATTTCTTCATTGGTGAAGGGCAAAGACAACATGAACCAATGGAGGTTGCTGCTCCTGTTGCAAACCATGGCCATCAACCTCAGCACAGGTATATTCCGCCAGCTAGGAGGGGAAATGTTGGTCCTCACCATCAACCCTATCCAAGGGATTTCTTCCAACCACAAGTTCCATTAGCCCAACTGTTACAACGCGGTCTACAGAATCAACCAGCTCAACTGTTCAATAGAGATCAACTAATAGATCTGGTACAAGAGACCTATGGGCCAGCCTCGAGGCCATTTGTAATATCTCCAAATTTTCTAGGACATTTAAGTGTGAGTTATGGATTTAATTGTGAGAGAATAATATTGTTGGCCTTAATAATAGAAATTTTCAAAGTTCAGGAACTTAAAAGAGAAAATTTGGATAAGGTCGGCAAAAAAAAAAAAATTTCCTTTTTCTTTCTTTTTTTTTTTTTTCCTTCCTCACCCAGTCACGTGTTCTATTTATCTTCTTCCTCCCGACCCCCCCGCAACTCGACAAGCTCCCCAAGTTGCCGACCGCCCTCTCTTGAGGAAAATTGGCAAAAGCTTAAATTTTTCCTTTGCTTACTTGTCCAAGAACAAGAATTAGGACCTAGAAGCCTCATGAAGCAAGAAAAATCCCAGATCTAGCTGCCTTCCTCCTCCCCTGCCGTCGGTTTCAGCTTGGTGTGGGTGTGAATTTCTCGGTTTTTGGGTAAGCAACAACCATGGAATTCATCTTTTCTCCCTTAATTTGGCTTGGGTTACTCTAATTTTGTTGTGGGTTCTTGAATTTGGTAGTTGCCGTGAGTTCCTCCATTTCTTTTTCCTCGTCGGCTTCCTTCCCAGCCGGACTCGGTGCTACTTGCTGGAAGATTTTGGGTATGTGGCAACCCCTTGAATTCAACTTTTACCCATTTAATTGCTAAAATTATCCATGTAATTGCTGCCCCTGTAATGTTCAATTTCTACCGAAATATAAAAGAAATTGGTAGCACTTCAAGTTGTGTTTTTAGTTTAATTCATGTAGTAATTTCTTGATTTAGCTGCTGTGAGGTTTATATGGAAAAATCCCGTGACTTAGCCAATTTTTGCCAAAGCCGGTTCCTCCATGTTCTGTCCATGAATTTGGGAAATGTTGTACATGTGTAATTATGTATATACATATATATAAATATACAATTTGATGTTGTGTGCTCAAATTTCGGATAGAAGAAGAATAAAGAAATAAAATTTTCCTATTGGGATTAATGGTCGGCAATCATGGAATAGGATTAAATAATTAGTTTTTAAAATAAGAATGAAATTAGAGGTGTTCGGTCATGTGGAGGTTAATATAAATAGCATCTTGATTAGGGGGTGATCCTAATGATGTTTTCACTTTGAATTTGTGATAGTACGGTATTAATTCTGGGGAATTTTGATTAGGTTCTTAAGTGTTCTGTCACCTGAGCACTTGGCTTGAGTTTCCGGTATTACGTGATTTGAGGTAAGTAAATTATGGTAACGCCCTTCAATTTCAAAGCATGTTTTAAATTGTTTTTAAGATGGTGGCAAGGTTTAAATTGATTTTATTAGCACCGAGCATGATTGGTTTGAAATAGAATTATTTTCATTTTCATTGAGTAGAGCATGCCTACTTCTGCCTTGATGATCTGAAAATTTTGTAAATTTTGATTTTTCTGTTAAATCCATGCCCACATGGAATTTTTTCAATTTATTCTTGAAATTTGAGATTGATTGTGAATTACGGATTTTTCCTATAAATCCTGCATGGTTTTGTCTTTGATATAGTCATGATTACTGATTAATGACGCTCGCCAGTGGAAGTTTGCAAATGCTGGCACATGTCGACATGTTTACTAATATGACCAGTTCATTCTATAATCCTGCCAATGGGATAATGCATTGGTAATTACTGACGCCTGCCAATGGGCGAATACATTGGTAATTACTGACGCTTGTCAGTGGGAGTTTGTTAAACACTGGTTATTACTGACGCTTGCCAGTGGGAGTTGTTAAACACTAGTTATTACTGACGCCTGCCAGTGGGTGTTTGTTAAACACTAGTTATTACTGACGCCTGCCAGTGGGTGTTTGTTAAACACTGGCCATGACTTATAGATGAAATTACTACTGAATTTTCTTCTGCATTAACGGTTTGTCATTGAACACTTTGTTATTGAACTGAATCTTATTCTATATTAATGGTTTATCATTGAACGTTTTGTTATGTTAAATTATTTATCAGGCATGCTAAAATTTTACTCACGGGCTATCCATATTTTTACTTACTGAGATATTTTATCTCACCTAGTTTTTTCTTGTCCACCATTTCAGGTAGTGATACTAGACACATGGGGAGCCGGGGGAGTGACGAGCTAGACGGCTAGGCATTATTTTGGACTTAGATCTTTTGGAGTTAGGCTACTAGTCTCACATGGTTGACCTAAATAAGCATTTTTGTGTACAGAGTTTCCTTGGTTATAGCCATAACTATCTTATAAACTGTTGTACATCTTTACTAGTAAAGTTTTGGTAATGGAAAGTTAGATTTTACCTGAGTTTTTAGATTTAAATAATCCAAGTTGAAAATTAAGAACTCAGTAGATTTCGAGCCTTGTGCATTTTTGGGACCCGTTCACGAGTGCATGACGTATGTTACGCCCTCGGATTTGGGTTCTGGGGCGTGACACCATTGGAAAAGATTGATAAAGGCATCCTAAAATTTCTAAACAAAGCGAAGGAAACCATGGAGTATACGATGATCCTTTTCCAACTGTGTCTATTGGTGTGAATGTTGCAGACCTGAGGAGTGTTGCCAGAAATTGTAGTCTGCCTTATGCTCAAAGGAACGTTGTTGTTGAAGACCTAAGGTGGATTATTGAAGCGCAAAGATCCAAACATAACAAGAGCGTTAGGTCAGACCGGCAGAGGCTCAGGAGGCAAGGAAGGATCATTGTGACTAGGAATTTCAGCCCAGAAAGTACCAGATCTCACTCAACTGGTACTAGATCTCCAAGGATGGTTAAACCACTACTTAGGTCACCTTCTAGACGATGGGAGAAAGTCAGTCATCCGAAGTTTCCAACCCAGAATCCTAGAACCTTGAGGCGCAGACTGTAGCGCAAGAGGGTTGATGAGCAAAAAAGGCAACAGAAGTAGGTGGAGGCTAAGGAAAGTTCATCTCATAGGCCACACCAACCTACCAAAAGAAACATGGTGTGAGTGAGAAAAGAGAAAAAGGAAGCTGCAACCCAGACTTTATTGGAGGCGGAGGACCAATCTCCAGCCTCTCCAAAGGTGGCATCTGTCATTGTGGGTTCAGACAGAGTGTTGAAAGCAACTTTTGAAGCACAAGAATAGTCTGGAAATCCTGGAGGTGGATCAAAAGAAGATGGCACTATTCATTTTAGGGAACTTTTAGTGAATTTGTCATGTTTGGTACTAACACTACCCTTGGTTTTCCAAGCCAAAAGTGAGGAGGAACCAGCCATTTGTGAGTTCCCAAAATAGATAGAAGAAGAAGCAATTGTGGTTTCAGCCCAAGACAATGAAGAGGACTTGGCTGACAAAATAATGTTTGAAAAACCAAAAGAAAAGACGGCCAGGCACATTAGGCCACTTTATATCAACGCTCACATGGATGGGACTCCAATCAACCGTGTCTTGGTGGATAACGAAGCTGTAGTCAATGTCCTTCCAACTTGCATGCTTTATAAAATAGGCAAGTCTCTTGATGATTTAGTGTATACCAATGTTATAATTAGTGATTTTACATGAGAGGTGAATTGTTCAAGGGGCGTGCTACCTGTTGAGTTAATAGTGGGAAATAGGACACCGATGTCTGCGTTGTGGTGGACACTGTTGCTACTTGCAATGCACTTTTGGGGCGTGACTGGATCCATTCAAGTTGGTGTGTCCCTTCTACACTTCACCAGGAGCTGATTTTTTGGAATGGTGGCAAGGCTGAGGTGGTGTCTGTAGATGATAAGCCTTTTTTAGCCAATACTCACCTAGTGGAGGCTAGATATTATGAAAAAGACATTGGTACTGTTCGATGTTTTGGGATGGATAGACATGGGAAGCTAATTGGGATAACAACATGCAACAGACCGTCAATATCTAAGTGTGTCATAGAGGAAGTATGTGATGAACTTCTTCAGCCAACAGCAATAATCCCTTATAGGCCAAAAGGGAAACTAAAAATTGAAGAAATCTAATGAAGCAAGCTCATTTGAATAAAGAAAAAGAAAAGGCTGTGTTGGAGATAACAAAGAAATTAACGACCTACTTTGTTGAAAAAACAGTAGAGGTAGACAGGTCTGAAATTGTTCATGAAGGTGAGTAGGCAGACCAGGGTGATGAAATTGTTTTGAATATCTTGGACCCACTCTCTGCATGATATCTCAAAACGTTCAGTCAAGTTTCTTTTTTCATTACATGACTCTACAAATCCATCTCTGCAGTTTGCATCCCTTTCTTTGAAAATTGGATTGCCATAAGATTGCTCGACGAAGGGTGACGAGAAAAGAGGAACAACTGGATCATTCTCACCCTTCAAGTAGACTGGACTGTGATCTGCATGTTCAACCTGGGTTGGCTGAACCTCTTTATCTCTGCTCTTTCTTGGTGGCATAGCTCTAGACACCTTTGGATGTATAAACAGAGGATCTGTGAACCTTAACTGATACACCTTGCTAGTGGTCCCACTAGGCGTGCCAACAAAGGATTGTTTCCTCAAAAATCCTTAGCCGACCTTGACCACGTGAGTTTGGATGTTAGGCGTGCCACTTGCTGTAACACCCCATATACCTTAGTGAATAATTTAAAAATTAGTGTCCTTTAGTTTATAGTTTTAGTGATTCAATTGATTGAATTTAAAGTTTAGGGGTTTTAAGTAAAACTTAGTAGAAGTTGAATGATCATAACTCAATTATTCCAATTTTGCTTACCACATGGCATTTTCCCAACCAAGTTTTTTTGTCTTGTCGGTGGAAGCTTGGATAAGCCTCCAGAAGCCTCCCAAAAGCCTCATTTTGCTTTCTCATGCCTTCCTTTTCGACCCACATCATTTTCTTTCTCCTTTCTCCACCAAGGTTAAGGTGCTTTTGTTAGGTAAGTATAAGTTTTAGTTATGAATTTTGGGTTAGAGTTTTGGATAGTTTAAATTAGTGAGATTTGATTTTAATCCTTTGATTTACAAGATTTTTGGGTATTAAACTTTTATTAGAAATATCCTTAATATTGGGATTTATATGGCAAAAATAGTGAGTTAATTAGTCCTTTCTATTGTTGATTTGGGTGTGATTTTGCTGCAGGAATTAGAAGGAAATTACGAAATACTGTTCGTGATTACTGTTCATGATTACTGTTCAAAATTACTGTTCAAAAATACTGTTCATGATTACTGTTCATGATTACTGTTCACGCATTATGCTTTGATCTCTTTCAATGGGAAATCCTAATATTATTTTGGACATATTATGAATTTGTTTGACATGTGTATGTGTTTGTGGCTATGGAGTAAGTGGACCTAAGCTTAAAGCTTGGGGTATTTAGTGGACCCTTCGGGGTATTCAGTGGACCTCTGCGCAGTAGGGTTAGTACTGTGATTAGCTCCGGTACAGTGTTGCTAGCACACCTCAGTGGACTCCATAGCATTGTGTGATTTTCGATTTTTATGCATTGCGCTTGTGACATCGTATTTGTGAGCATATGATTTTGGTATATGAATTCAATTTAAATGTCATTGATTATTACTTGACATTTGTGCTTATGATTTGATTCCTTTGTGTCTTATGCTCTTTGTGTGGATAGGCTTAAGGGTCTTAGGACCCAAGTTTATAGCTTAAACTTATTACTTACTGGGCTGTGAGCTCATAAAATCCCCCCCCCATTTCAGATCAGTAGATCGAGGTAGCAGTCTTTCGGTTTAGGAGCTTTTGGCACGGGACTCGCATGCTCGTTGTATGTGCAAGCTAGGGCCTCGTGTTTTCGATAAGGAGGCAGATCGATGTGTTACCAAAACCATGACTTAGCTTTTGTTTTTTTGAAAAGGTTTGAAGAAGAATTTGCCTCGTATAATTTTTGTGTAAATTACCTTTATGTATAAAATCTTTAACTTAATTATAAATGAGTTTAGCTCGGCTTATTTTATAACTTTGAATATTTTGGCATTTTCCAACGTATATATATTGATATTCGTTTTATTAAATTGATTTTCTGAATATAGGCTTTCTTTTGAATAAACATTTTATATCATGAGTGTTTTTACTTCCGCTGCAATTCTTTATTATAAATTTGGTTTCCGAACTCTCCTAGGACTAAGAGTGCCTAGGGAGGTGTGTTACACTTGCTTTGTCTAAAAACAAGAAAATAGGATTTTCCAGACAACCTTTCTCCTTTCCAATGGTTGACCTCCAATAAGATGGTTGGAAAGAACGTCTGTGAGATAAATTGCACCTCAAACAATGTTGCAAAATAGAGGGTGGAGTTCTGCAAAATGGGTTACTAATTGCCTTGGAAACCTCCAAGGACTTTACAACCACAAAAGTGTAATAAAAGCTACAAATCCTAAAATTAACAGAAAATCATAAGGCAATTAATCTAACGTGAGATCAATAAAAGAAAACAACATGTCACAAAAATAAAACTCGTAGACAATAGAAAATGTAGAATCACATACAACAATTTCCACTATGCAATCCATAACAATTAAACTAATTACTTGCAGATTTAAAATAAAAATAACTAAACTACTTGATAACTACAACTGAAGGAGAATCTATGAAATAATTAAAGTCTAGAAACTTGGAAAATTAAATTTGGAAACTGAAATTGAGTAAACTGCAGGTCTAACAGTTATGCAAATACAAGGAAAAGAAGATAGAAAGCATTTAACCTATTTACATGAACAAATAACATAGATGAATCCATAAGAGAAAGAGGAACTAACCAAATCAATGGATAGACCCATTCTAATGGCTGATCTGGTTCCAAATGCTTAAAAACAGTTAAAGTACCATTTTGGTTACTCAACTTTCCACTTTGACACCAAAATTGTCCCTCAACTTTAAAAAGTACCAAAATTATCCTTAAACTTTCATTTTTGGTACCAAAATGGTCCTTCCATCAGTTAAATGACAGGTGGCACGTTAAAATGCTACAAAATCAAATTTTTTTTTTTTGCTTGACTAATGACATGGAAAAGAAAAACACAATTGGCCATCTTTTTTTATGAGGTGACATTTTTATTTAATTTAAAATTTTTGATATCCTTTTTTTTCCATCCATGTCATCTCTTCTTCCTCTTTCACTTTCTCTCTCGTAGAAGAAGGATGAGCAGGGAAAGGAAAGGAGGAAGAAGATGAAGTTTGTGAGAGAACCCAGATCTAGGTTCGCAGAGGTAAGGGAAAAGGAAAGGTAAAGGAGAAAGAAAGTGAAAGAGGAATAAGAGATGACATGGATGGAAAAAAAGGATATTAAAATTTTAAATTTAAATAAAAATGCCACCTCATAAAAAAGATGGCCAACTGTGTATTTTTTTTCCATGTCATTAGTCAAGCAAAAAAAGAATTGATTTTGTGGCATTTTAACGTGCCACTTGTCATTTAACTGACGGAAAGACTATTTTGGTACCGAAAATGAAAGTTTAAGGATAATTTTAGTACTTTTTAAAGTTGATGGACCAAAATGGTACTTTAACCACTTAAAAACTAACCTAAGTTGAAATTTTTGAGGAAAGACCTAAACTAAAGCTATGAACAATAATAGATCTTGAAAACTAATCTGGAAACTATGCTGAAATTTGGAAAAAGCAGTCTGAAAGTTGAAAAACATATGCTCTAGGCAGTGTGTGTAGGGTTGGCCATCTGGAACTGATTTTTTCTTCTTGTTTTTATTTTCTTCAATGTTGGGAAACCTCCTCCATGTTTCTCGGCCCTCTCCCACCATGATCGAGTAGTGGGGGTTCCATGTTTGGCAGATGTCTGCCAATTGACAGTTTTTATTCAATCTTATCTCCAATAAAACCCCAAAGACAACCTCCTCCTAAAAACTCTCAACTTCCTAACTTAAATCAAACTCAAACACCAAATATTATTTTATCTTTTGCCACCTAAAATCCAGCTTCTTTAAAATTCCGTCTGGGCCCTTAAATTGTAAGCTAGCCCAACCCAAATCCAGCTTGCTGACTTTCCTTAATAATTGGGTTCAACTTAACACGTGGCCTTCTCTCATTGGTTTATTTTTAAGTGTAAACACTTATCCACATAAGCTAGAACCTAACATGGCAACATTTCATCACCACATCATTAAAAAAAAAAAAGTTATTTTGCATCGAGTTAACAAGTAGGATATGTGACAATTAATGGATGAAAGGACAGAAAAATGTATTCTTCAAACTTAAGGGATGAAAAAATTGAAAAAAAAAAAGAAGAAGAAATTTGTACAAAATTAAACGTTGGGAGACCAATTTTTGTCATTTAACCATAAAATTTTCCCGTTGCGCATTTGACCAAAACAAGTTTAGGTTGGAAAATCTGTGGGTTACAGTATGTCTCTCGATGGATATTATCCTTCATGAACGCTCTCTACACCTATTAATGGTGGCAACTTAAATATTTTAGTAAAATATAAAATAATCTATTTTATATATTAAATTTATTTTTTTATTAATGACTTGATTAAATTGGACATTATAAGTTAATTATCTTAATTACTTAAAGGCATATTATTTCATAATAATTACTTAATTTATTCCTACCATTAATCTACAGATAGGAGTTATGTGATCATGAGTTTTATAAATAGGATATGTCATTTTTCTCAACCAGGCAAAGTTCTTTCACATTCTTTTATTTTTTTACTTTATTCTATCTTCTAAATATTCTCGAGTAAAGAAAGGTGTCATGATTTAAGTGATTTTATGAGTAGTGTAGATTCATAAAATGTTATTATAAAACCGTAACATCCTAGAGGTAATATGCTATCTATACTTCTGTTGCACCAGTCGATCTACTATCCCAGAGGAATGAATCACCTTAAAATAAGTAAATTTTTCATTCTTATTTTGATGATATTTTCTTATTGGTATTTTTTTTTATAATTTTACTAATTATTATTATTATTTGATTTTGTAACTGAGACAAAACAATGATATGATGTAAAGATAAAGAAGAATGTTCAAGGAACAACATCCTTGATGAATGCTCTCTTACTATCCTTACATTACATAGATTCACTACCTAATCCCCATTTATGTTAAATCAATCACTATTTTGTTTTTTTTATAATAAAAATTTATTGTAAATTTTATAACATTTAAAAGAAAAATAATAAATGAAACTAAAATTTAAGACTAATGACGTGACATAAGTCATATCATTTAAAATATTAAAAGACAGATCATATATTATTTAATGATTGACTCTTTTTGTTTTTTTTTTTTAAACCCGTAATATTATATGCATCAACTAATTTAATAATATGATATCATTTGTCTTGAATATTAGTCCTCCTTGTCATTACTGTATTTATAAAGGACACTAATATGAATATCTTATGATTCAACATGTTTCATAACATATTCATTAGAGATATAGACACATATATATACAGCATTAGTGAACCAACTAAACCAGTTACATCTATATTGTATTTTAATAGTTAAATCAATTAACTATCAACATGTGTATGAAACTATAGGTTCAACTAGAGGGTGTTCAAATCATTTTTATTGATAAAATATTAAATGAATGAAAGAATGTATACTACACTATACATTCCATTCTAGACTAAAAAATTAATAAAAATTGTATCACATTATATTATAAAATTTTATTATTAACAAACATTGTGAATATAATTTCTTCGGTAATTAAAATGTTAAAAAAATAAAAATATTAAAATATTCTTAATGAATCAATTCATAAGAAAGATTTATTAAAGACATTTAAATAATTTTTAAAGAGTTTTAACATTTAAAAAACCAAAACATTTTAATTTTTACTTTTTTTCATATTATATATATTTTTTATTGATTTCAACACATGCTAGTTTTGAAGACTTAGATGTTAGAATGTATCTATTGAGCAGAGATTACTCTATCCGTCTTAAAATAATAGATTTTTTTTATTTAGAATTTAATTTCAAAATAATAGTTACTTTTCATAGTTTAAGCGAGACAAAAAAAATTTTCCTATTTTAACTTGATACTTATCTCTCAAGTTTAATCACTCATTCTTTGATTAAAATAGTTATTTATATTTATTTATTTTTTAAGAATAAAATATGTAAAAATAAAAATTATATTCAAATTCTTAATGTAAAAATAAAATAAAAAATATCTATTATTTTATAATTGAAGGAGTAGTTTTTTATTTCTTTTTCTCGCATTAATACCTCTAATAACTAATTATAAGATTGAAACCACTAAAATTCTCAAAAATTAACAAAAATTAATATTTTAAGGTTCAAACAATTAATACTCCTCAAGCATCAAATAATATAAGTCTAACACAACATTCCTCAAAGTCCTAACATAGGGCATGTTTGGTATAATGATTAAAATTCAACAAATAATAATAGATAACGATAGTGGGTAACAAATAGTGGATGGTGGTTAGTAAATAGTAAGTGACAAATAGTGAAAAATAGGTAACAAATAGTAAATAGCATATAGTAGATTTAATTGATATAATTGTTTGATTATATAATAATTAATTGTTATTATTTAACACTAAATAACTAATAATGATATATTTTAAAACAATTAAGTGTATTTTTTTTTATTATTAAAATTATTAATTATATA